AGGAGCCACACCTGGTGTAAAAAGGAGCTACATTGATTGGCACAGGCTGAAGCTCTGGACTGAGAAAAGAGATGTGGATAGGCAGTTGAGGTACATACAGAGAAAGAAAATGGTGGCTCCATTTCTCTGAACTCTCAGCCCTCAGACAGGACCCCTAGCCAGATCCACATGATACCTGCCCCCTTCATTAAAAAAATCCTTGTGTGTTGCCCAGCTGCCAATGAATAACAACTGTTTGCTCTAACGCTATGGGAGATTACCAGGCACCTACTGAAGGATCATACTGAGGAAGAAGGGGATCTTTATATGAGCTGCAGTTGAGGCATCTGGGCCAGTTGTTCTATACTCTGATCTTGTTCATCTTTCCCTAGAACAGATATCTTATTATAAACAGCTTCAGCATACACTATAGACAAGTATTTTACTGTGCTGCTCTGTTAGCTTCAGAAGAGTATGGTCTCTATAGAAAGGCATCATGTAACTGTTAGGGATCTACTAGAATTTTATTTTTCCTTAGCAGCCCTCTATTGAAGATCTGAGAGGCTTCTGTTAAAGTCCTACTTGAAAACCAGTTTCCAAAGTGAATTTAGCCACTTGAATCCACTAGTAAGTATTTGCAAAGGACAGAAGCTCCCAAACATACAACATTTCTAACTCAAAGTTCCTGATCTACACCAAGCTTTAGCCCACCAGCGTCTTCTCCATTTAGCTCCTTCACACTCTTTTATTACATTGTGAGCATTTCAGTCAGAAACTAGGGTCATAAACTTCTCCACTGGAAAGCATTTATAGCTATTTGGACTGAATTATTCTGTTCATGAGGTTATAATAATAAAGGAAGCTTACAAGCGTACTTCTTCCAAATCCTAGTATGTCACTGCCAGTTTGGAAAATTGGCTCATTATTTATCTTTGTTTGGCTCCTCTAGATTCTCAAATTTCTTGCTTTGAAGCTATACTGGACAAACAAAAAACTTAATGTTACCTCACATTAGCATCGGGAAGAATATAAAAAATGTTACTTCTCATTTATTCCAACTTCAGATTCACAGTTGAATATAAATATTGTCAGAGTTTCAAACTGTATTAAAATGTTAAAATCCTGCCAAAGTTTACAGCCTAGTTATATCCTGCCACAGAAAATTTGTTCTGTTTTTCAATTTTATGAAGTGTCTGGCAAGAAACAACCCAGCTCCTTACATTCATATACATACATACATGATTACTCTTATTTCACTGTAGCCTAATCAAACTGGCCAACTCACTTTCTCTACTCCCAAACATGTGCATCATCGGGGGTGTGCACAAGGGGGAGCAAGCAGGGGCACGGGCCCAACCCTCCCCCCCCAATCATCGACAGGGGCACAAAACTCCTCTGGCCATAGTGGGAGCTGACAGTTCCTCCAGCCCCAGGGCTGCAGAGGGGAGAACGAGCTCCTCGGGCCCTGGGGTCATGGCGGGGGCACAGAATATGCCCCTCCAAAAGCAGTGAAATTTTAATTCATGTGCATGCCCCTGCACAACATATACCATCTCTCCATCATCCATTCCTGCACAGCAGAATGTAACAGCAGAACTTTTCCTCCTCCTCTAGTGACTGACTCACTCAAAAAAAAAAAAACCACACAAACAAACCACACATGCACGGTCCTAGTAGGGTCAAGGACTTTTTATTGAGGCTTTTCACCCTCTTGCACTCACTAAAGTTCTAGTCCCATCCCCTCATTCTAGTGCAGACATATTTTAATAGCAATGTCCTCGTTTCCAAAGAAACAGCTTGTCCCTCTGCCTTCTACCTAGCCTCAGCACATTTAAAGGAGCAAGTGACCCAAACCTTCTCTAATTGAGAGTCCTGCAATGTACTATGAGCTCCCATATGAGCCATCAGAACAGTCAAACTTCAAATCATTTTTTCAAAGAGGAAGGACTTACGTGAATGTCACATCCCACTCTCAACCCACCTATGATGACTCACTTCACCAGCTTAACCTAGAGAAGGCCCAGAGCTTTGAACAGCTGAATAAGAATAAGAACTGCCTTAAAGTTTTCTGTTCAGCGTGTAGGCAGGGACAACGGCAAACAAGGATAGATGTGCTCAAAATGAAATGCTACACAGCATCTCTTCACTGGGGATGAGCTCTTCCCCCTTCGGACTAGGAGTCTGTCAGCCAGGGAAGAATTTTAAAAGAGCTGCATTGCAGCCCAATAGTATCACGTTCTCTCTGAATGAGCTCCAGAAAGGAGCTGTGTTAAACAGAACAGGAAGGGCCATGCAGCCGCAAAACTATCCCTGTATATGGGGAAAAAAAATAAGAAAGGGATAATCAGGAGAAGATTAGACTGGCTCATCCTCTCTGCTGAATTCTAGCAGTCTGTGAGTCAAGGAAGCCATGACCCCCACTTCACTTCTAGAAAGTTTTGTTTATTTTAAACCTGTCTGGTAGGCCAAGCCCAATGCCTGTCCAACACCCTACTCTTGTCTGAGCTGGAAGTAATTCCGGCAGGCTGTGAGACTGCTGGGAGTTATGAAGTGCGGAAGCAAGGAAACTCATTCATATGAGCAACAGAGGGTCCTGTGGCACCTTTGAGACTAACAGAAGTACTGGGAGCATAAGCTTTCGTGGGTAAGAACCTCACTTCTTCAGATGCAAGACTTGCATCTGAAGAAGTGAGGTTCTTACCCACGAAAGCTT